TGCGGTAGCTGGGGGCAGCGTACCCCCAGACCGCGGAGGCGTAAGCGAGCTGAGGTCTGGCGATGGCCTTGATCAGCCGTAGCTTGGTCGCTAGCGGCATCTGGCTGTGTCTACCCAGTAATGGATAGAGTTGAGCCATGGCTGCTCTGGTTTTTGCGATGACAGCTTCTATGTGCGCTTTCCAGGTGAGGGACTTGTCAAAAACGATCCCCAGATATTTGACATTGTCGCTCCACTGGATATCTTCATCGAAGATGGATGCTTCGAGAGGTCTTGCAATCCTTCTTCGTTGAATGAAGATTGCCTGCGTCTTCTGGACGTTGATGCGGATTTTCCATTTCACGCACCAGTCCTGAATTTGGTCCAGTTCATCCTGTAGTCTCCTACGGATGATCTCGGGTCGTCTATGCTTGGCGGCTATAGCAGTGTCGTCTGCATATAGGGCCAGCATTGTGTCAGCTGTCTTCGGCACATCGTAAGTATAGATGTTGTAGAGCAGGGGGGCTAAGGCTGACCCCTGGGGCACGCCTGCTTCCAGCTGTCGTCTTGTTGAATGGCATGTACCAATCTTCACCGTGAACCATCTTTGTGTTAGATAGCTCTGGATCAGTTGGCACATGTTCGCATCGATTCCGGCGGCTTCCATTTTGGCGATGAGTCCATCGTGCCAAACTCGGTCGAAGGCTCGTTCCACGTCCAGCAGGACGAGACCGGTTGCCTCCTGGAGATTGAAGCCGCTGGTGACGTTTTCCGTCAGTCGTAGCGCTTGGAGTTCCGAGTTGTGCGAGGATCTGAAGCCGAATTGCTCTGGGGGGAGAAGTTGCAGTTTTTCTGCCTGCTTCTCTAGTCGAACGGCGATAGCCTTTTCGACTACTTTGCCCACCGAGGAAACCAGGCTGATGGGCCGGTAGTTCTGGGGCAACTTCCGGTCCTTGCCTGGCTTGGTGAGCATTATAACCTGGGCTTCCCGCCACCGCCGCGGGAAGTGGTTAAGTCTCAGAGTGGCATTGGCGATGTTGGTGAGCGCAGCAATGCCTTTGGTGGGAAGGTTCTTCAGCATCCTATTGTTGATGCCGTCCCTTCCCGGCACAGTTATTCGAGAACTGAATTCATGTTTTACATAAAGAGACCTCAATTATCATAATCAATATAAGAAAAGAATCTGATAGACGACGTCACCGTCACACCTCTCGGTTTCTGCGGCAATCTTCACCGTTTCCCCGTCTTGCTTTCTTTCGTTGAGTAATTACGCTGTGCCAGGAAATCGAATCAAGAACAGGACCTGTTTGGATCATCTCTAGATCGGTAAACGGACGAAAGGGTGGAAATGAGACGGTCGTTTATCGAATAGTTTCCCGGCGTCCGTATTAATTACGTCGTCTGGCAACAAATTCGACCGCATCAGCACAAAGAAACACACTGCGACTTGATGGGAATTGCTGTTGGAATGTGGAGCTGCCCGTACGGACAGACGGGTCGTTAGTCTATTGTTTGAGCTCCCTCTCGCTGGCTTAATTTACGGTCGATAACTAGTGTTATTTTTTGGCCAATTTCTAAAATACGCTTGCTTTTTGTAGCTGTGGCGAACAGAACGAAAAACTAGTTAAAGCTATAGTCCAAGATGAATACGAACGCACTAATTTGCACGTATCATGCAAAACACTCGTTAGGACTTTTCCAGTACACGTACAATACGCGTGTTTTATAAAGTATCCTCCCGAAAAGTATTTCAGTGCGGACCTGTATTTGATCGTGAGGTCTTGGAGCACCGGCATGCCCTCCCCTGTGAGGTCTTAAGTCACCTGATTCACGAGCCCGTTGTACTACATTAACAAAGGCACGAGGGGTTGGTTGCACTCGATTGGGAAACCGATCCGCATAAACATGTGCCATTTTTTATTTCGTTTGAGCCACGCAACAGACACCACTATTCACTCACGCGTTACCGACTGACACTGACTGTATACAACTGACTAAAATAATTGTAAAAACATCGTTCCAAATTCTTTCGCTCTTTTGTTTCCGATGCGATGAACCAAACACGAGCACACAATATTATTATTGAGACAGGGCGGTGCTCAAACTTCCAAAGGGCTATAACTTTGTTACTTTAATCTTACCAGAAAAATGGTAAAGGAAAAAAACATTTCTTTTGATCAGATCTACTCACTGTTAAAATAAATGACTCAACTTCGAAGTCACCCTGTATAGATTTTCCTAACAACTGCAGAAATTTCTTGTCCGTTCGGGACAACCTTGACAACTTGTGCGGGAGGCTTCCGCCCTTATGTAACAATAGATCCTTGTCTGCCCTCACAGGATTAATGCCTGATAGGTTGCCTACTTCTTAGTGCGCTTAGCGGTAGCAGTGGCCTTGAAAGCAAAGCCAAGGCCCTGCTGTACGACTACGCCTTGACAAGACCCAATAGGGTTGTTCAAATAATTAAGGAACTGAGTTCCGTAGCCCCTAGCCTGCTGTGTCGGCTAGGATGAGCACCTGTGCATAGCGCGGTAGGATACAACGAAAACTGTGATCTAGGTGCCCATTCACTCTCTTACACGTCCAGTCGTTTGAGTCGGCCAGGGTCGAAGTGTCCGTTCTCGATTCAGAGACAAAATAATTCATCGTCCAGTCGGAATAGGGAAGTTTAAAATCATATTGCCGATACGACGCGCTGGTATCTGTGAGAAGAGATATTTAATAACGTCCATTGTCGGTGTTTACACATTCAGATACCATTTAACCTACTGTGATGTCAAACGTGACAGATTGAAAGCTCTTTGGAGACTTTCAGCATGTTTATGACTAGCTTTTCTCCTAGTGATTAAAATAAAAATTATGCAATAATTGTATAGTCATTATGTTTATTATTTCCGGGCGATATTTCCTTGCATTCTTCCGCTGGGAAGGCGAAATTTTCTGCGACGAAGAGTCTGCTTCCTAGGGATGCAGCATCTTGGTGTCTCTGATGCTCCTAGAATAGTTTTCAAATACTGTCCATGTAAAGTACTTGAAACACCTCAAATGAACTTCCGTACATTGCTCAGCCCCACATGCAAATTTTCCATCAACTTTGTCAAAATATCACCACGTACCGTGAATAATATTAACCAGAAGATACATTATCGCCTTTGTTTCATGCAACAAAGGGTATTATGAGCTAAAACGTAATTAATTTTCACGAAGTTTGTTCCGAATATGTTATCATATAATGACCTAGATGCAAGGCAGTGTTTCGTATTGTGCACGGATATACAGGGTTTGTCCGGCAAGTAATAGGACTCATTTTCTTCCGCCATGCGCGCACCGACTGGATTCGGTAGAGGGCGTTCCTAGATAACGAATGAGCCGAAAATGCAGCGTTTGTTAGAGCAGAGGTACGCGATTAAATTCTGTGTGAAACTCGGTAAATCTGCGACAGAGACGTTTGATATGATCAAGCAGGCTTACCCAGGTGTTGCTTTAGCGAGAAGTGGTGTGTTTCGGTGGCACCAGGCCTTTTTGGAGGGCCGGGAAGAGGTCGCTGCCGTTCTGGAAGACCTTCGACTTCGACAAACACCGATAATGTGGCTCGTGTGCGCAAAGTTTTGAACTCAGACCGTCGACTAAGTATTCGTTTAATTGACCAGATGTTAAATTTACCAAAATCTGTGGTTCATGACATTGTGACACAGCATTTGAAGATGCGGAAGGTGTGCGCGAAGATGGTCCCAAAAGTGCTCACTGACGACCAGAAATTGCGGCGAGTGGAAGTGTGCCACGAAAATTTGAACATGCGTGAAAGTGACCCCCAATTTTTGAATAACGTAATCACAGGTGACGAGTCGTGGATCTTTGAGTATGATCCCGAGACAAAGAGGCAATCTTCCGAGTGTCACACGACGGCGTCTCCTCGCCCAAAAAAGGGAAGAATGAGCAAATAACAAGTGAAAACGATGCTCCTTGTCTTTTTTGACATCAAAGGCATCGTCCACACATGAATTTGTTCCTCCTGGACAAACCGTCAACGCCAAGTTTTACGTGGAAGAATTAGATAATCAAAGGTTTATTTCAATACATGTTCAAATAGGCCACCATTCTAACGGGTACAAGTGCGGCATCTTTTCGATAAAGAAAATCGAAAAAATTGGCGTTGGTGTGCATCCTTTTCATGCAAAAACCGGTATCGATCCAAGTCCTTAGTTGCTAGGAAACGCGCATCCTCAATTTACTAAACAAAAAATCGCCATCCTGGACCAAACACAAATACAGGTTCCGAAACATCTCGTATATTTTCATAACGTTATCCGATACACCGCGGCGTCAGCGTGAAACCGAATAGGTGTAGAAAAATGGCCGGTATATGCTTACACGAAAAAAGGGGATAGCAAAAATAACTGTGCCACAATATCACCAGCCGAACCGGGGGTAGAAACCGGAACAAATAGCCGGTATCCGTGTCACCGATCGAGTTCATATCAGCACTCAAAAAGACCATCATATATCAAACAACACCGCTACCCAAACCGTCCAATACAGTTCGTCATACCAGGGACAGATGAAATGCAGTTTGTGAGACAGCGTGCGATATACGAGGTCTGTAAATTAGATAATGATCGTTTGATCTGGCAACACTGGAACGTCTACGTTGTTGCATTTCAGTCTTTCGACGTACAGGGCCGCATTCAGGGCGACCTCCGAATGATGGACTACCACCAACGTGTTGTAAAACAAAGATGACAATATTTAACAGAAACAGAAACTTAACAAATTACTAAAATACACATAACAACAACAAAGCAACAACCAAGCAAGGCGACTACGAAAACACGACACGCAGTGATACACGCGACGGACAGTGGCCTGAGTGCAACTCTGCCTGCCCTGCCCCTGCCCCGCGCATTATTCCGCCAGGTGACCGCTTGAAATTTAATGGCGAATTGACCAATAACTAACTGTTATTATTTACATCTCTCTTGAATTTGGATTCACTTTAGATTCATTGATGGTAAAGTCTTACCTGTTGGCCGTGCGTGTATTCAACACCAGCGACTAAACACGTAGCAGCCGAGCTTAACCTTTCCAAGCCGCGTGTCGTGAAATCGTCGTCTATGACTGGAATATCGTCGTCTTCCTCTTCTTCCTCTGCACTGTTCGATATATCGTTGCTCAGAACTGATACTGGCACTGAAACAAAAAAATCCTGGTTACTCCAAGAGAAATTATTCATTACGAACTTGCACGCGAAACTCTCTCAAAGATAACATCGTTTTACAAAAGCTACTTTACACTTTTTACAGTGTCGGTGCCGGTTGCGGGGTGAAAAGCGCAAATTTGTGGCTTCCATCTGTGCATACACCATACCGGATCTATGCGGATTTTAGCTTAGATTTTAGTAGGTACTTATATCGTTAATAAAAAGCAAAAGGAGCAGTGGCCCCAAATTCGAACCCTGCGGTGTTCCCGATGCCGTACAACGAAGAGACTCGGAACCGTTATATAGGTTATATTGCAGAATACTGAAGTTTGAGCCTGCAGCGTTCCATAACTCAAGTGAAAAGCTGACAGTTTATGGCGCTTAGCAAAGTAGAAGAATGTAATAATGGCATTTTTTCGGCGCCGCCTGTGAATCATCCGTTTTCCGAAGTTGACAGGTTAATAGCCGTTAATGAAGATTGTGAAATGTATTCGAATTTCCATTAACGTAAATGGCGCGGCATAATTCTAATTTAATGGAGAAAACGAGGATAAAACGGACCGAAGATTCGAAACGGAGCGATGGTAAATGCGGAATGTAAAATCGTTTTTCGCGTAAAACGGTGCCACACTATGGAAAAGGTGTAAATCTGGACAGGAAAACGTACACAGGTTACGTGGAATAAAATGAAAGTGGCATCTAACCACAATAACAAAAGTACCCGTTCAAGAGAGGCGAAATACAACAAAAACGATGTTTTTAATGCAGTTAGAGTGCAAAGAAGTGTAGACACTGTGGTTAGGTGTTGTCAGGCATGGCTTCGAGAAGGCCGTACGCAAAGAGCAAGGGGCACTGGACGCCGCCGTAGAACAACAGATCGCCTAAGATTATTGGCCTTAAGGGACCGTTTCTCCACTACCAGGTCCATTGCCAATGAATGGTTTGCAGAACACGGAAGACCTATTGGCATGCGAAGTGTTTACCGACGAATGAGAAGTTTTGGCTTGTTTTCATACCGGCCACACTGGGTCCTCCCTTTAACTCGGGAACACCGACGTAATCGCCTTGAGTGGTGCAGACAACGGTCACTCTGGGATCAGGAATGGAACAGTATTGTCTTTAGTGACCAGTCTCGATTTTGTTTAGGCATGCACGATGGTCGTGCCAGGGTTAGAAGGCGACGTGGTGAACGGAGGAATCCACAGTTTTTTGTTGAAAGACATGTTCATCACACTGTCGGAGTTATGGTTTGGGGTGCTATAGCTTATGGTTCCAGGTCACCTTTAATCTTCATCAGAGGTAACATGAACGTGCAGCGTTATATCCACGAAGTTCTAGAACCCCATCTTTTACCCTATCTTGACACCCTGGCATATCCAACTTTCCAACAAGATAATGCCCGACCACATGTTGCAAGAGTCACAATAGACTTCTTTCAACATAATGATGTCACATTGTTACCATGGCCACCAAGATCTCCCGACTTATCCCCAATTGAGCACGTGTGGGATATGATGGGTAGGAGATTGCTCAATTTGCAACGTCCTCCTCAGACTCTAGAAGCACTTCGAGAGGAGTTGGTGGTTGGCTGGAATGAGATATCACAGGAGGACATTGACCACCTGATCAGAAGCATGCCTAGGCGCGTTGGAGAATGCGTAGCACATCAGGGTGCATCCACACATTATTAAAGGTCAAAGGGCTTTAAAGCAGTGCAATCATTTTGAAATTTTTATCATTTACTTATTATGCTTCATTAAGTATATGTCACTTAGTATACTAAAGAAACTGGGACTCGTATATAAAAGAATTGTTCTATTTGAATTTGAATGTGTCGCCCACTGTGTCCTTTCCGCATAGATGTCAGACTAGTACTGAATGGAAATTTAATCGAAAGCGTGTATCCAAAGAATAAAAACGGTAAATCCCCGACCAACTCGGGGAAGTCCCTAATTCACGCCAGAAACGCACCGAAAGATTAAAGTCGGTGAATCCCGGCTTACTCCAGAATGCAAAAAAATAAGACACGGTTTTTCTTTTTATTTCCTTCAAAGAGAGAGTTGCCTATTCGTTTACTTTTTGAGAAAATGTTCATTTTCCATATAAACTTCCTGTCTAGACAGAAGGATCTTTATGAAAGGCGCTGTGCACTTAACGACACTGCATCATCTTCAAAGACAGAAAGATCCGTGTAATCACATCTAAACTGCCTCACCCTAGGAACTTCCTCGGTACCCTATAACATTTTTCTCAGTCGAAACTTTGGACTACTTTACGATCCCGGCAGTTTCCGAACTTCACCTTCGTTGTCAGCGGCGGTCCGGGAACAAATAAAGTCTTGTAGAAACCGTCCGAGGACGGAACTTCTCGCTATTCATCTGCAACTGGATATTTGCCAGAATGCGTCCCGATGTCGACAGGAAGTTCCTTGCAACTTTCATAATATCGATAGATTACCGAACACACAATGCGGGCGAAGCCAAGCGGAAATCTGTGATTAGACGCCGTCGATATCTCTAGTAAATTATCACCGGGCCTTAGGCTAAATATGGAGCACAAAATGATGGGCCCCTGATTGCCATATTAAATCAAAATTCCTTGTATAGCTACAAAAACCTATAGCACAACTTCACCGATCAAAAAGGATTTGGGTTTTAATCCAGATTGATATGACAGCAACAGTGTCCACTACTCACAACTACTTTTATGGTCAACACAATTTTTTTAATGTTGGTGACTTAACAGCAAAGAGCGCTCAGTATCGCAGCTTGGCAAGTGAACGAGTGCCCTACCAAATATGCAACATTCAAACCACCCACTCCGTTTTGCCTCTAAAGAAGTAAAATGTAAGCAAGGGCTTGTGCCTGGTTTCACTTACATTACCTGCCATAGTTACGGAATTAACCGATTAAATATTAAGGCTTCGACGTATGCCTCCAGGCTATGATAACCTTTATATACAGGATGATACAAGGGCAAGTTACGAAGCACTATTATAGAATTTTCTTTGAGCGTGAGATTAGAGACGCTCATGTTATACCCCTTCTTAGAAAACGTACTTATTTTTCACCCTGAATTTTTAACGAAGCTGAGCTTTCAAGGGAGTCTGAAATTGCATTTTCTATGCCAGGTGACCGCTCGCTAAAGAGACCTTTAATTATAGCTCGAGAGCCTTTACAGTCGGAAACTTTAGCCTAGGTAACTGAATGGGCGAAAAAAAACCAGGAAAAAATAATTAAGGATGATCGCGCTAAGCGTAGACTCAGTAGCGGCGCGAAACTATGAAGAGTCTTCTTTGCACCAGATCTTAAAACGTTGTATTAATTACCAGGTTTAGGCCAAATCGTCAAGGCGAAGGCGGCTCTCAGCGACAAGGCGATAAGTGCTCTCAGCGTGAAGGCTGACGGCTACCAGCGTCAAGGTCATGACGGCTACAAGCGTCAAGGTCGTGACGGCTACCAGCGTCAAGGTCAAGACGGCTACAAGCGACAAGGTCGTGACGGCTACAAGCGTCAAGGTCATGACGGCTACCAGCGTCCAGATCATGACGGCTACCAGCCTCGAGGCCATAACTGCATGGTCATGACGGCTGCTATTGTCAAGCTCCCTTTCGGCTAGCGGTAGGCGTCATGGCCATGGCGGGAGCGGAAGGTGTCACGACCATGGGGGGAGAGGCACTCACCGCCAGGAGGTTGGTCTTCGTGATAAAGACCGCGTGATAACAAATTTTAGGACTCTCTCAGCGTCAAGGCGAGAAGTACTCTCAGCGTGAAGGCTGACGGCTACCAGCGTCAAGGTCATGACGGCTACAAGCGTCAAAGTCGTGACGGCTACAAGCGTCCAGATGATGATGGTTACAAGCGTCAGGGCTATGATGGTTACTAGCCTCGAGGCCATAACTGCATGGTCATGACGGCTGCTATTGGCAAGCTCCCTTTCGGCTAGCGGTAGTTCATGCTAACCTCAGGGGGCAACGATGGAGGTGATCGCAGCGGCAGCCGTCAAGGCGAGGATGGCTCTCAGCGTCAGGCGAGAAGTGCTGCTCTCAGCGTGAAGCCTGATGGCTACCAGCGTCAAGGTCCTGACGGCTACAAGCGTCAAGGTCGTGACGTCTATAAGCGTAAAGGTCATGATGGCTACCAGCGTCAAGGTCATGACGGCTACAAGCGTAAAGGTCATGACGGCTACCAGCGTCAAGGTCATGACGGCTACAAGCGTTAAGGTCGTGACGGCTACAAGCGTCAAGGTCATGACGGCTACAATCGTCAAGGTCGTGACGGCTACAAGCGTCAAGGTCATGACGGCTACAAGCGTAAGGGCTATGATGGCTACCAGCCTCGAGGCCATAACTGCATGGTCACGACGGCTGCCATTGTCAAGCTCCCTTTCGACTTGCGGGCAAGCGTCATGGCCCTAGCCGGAGCGGAAGGTGTCATTACCATCGAGGGAGCGGCACTCTCAGCGTCAAGGCGAGAAGTGCACGGACAAGGTCGTGACGGCTACAAGCGTCAAGGTCATGACGGCTACCAGCGTTCAGATCATGACCGCGTCCTAACAAATTTTAGGATGACAACACTTTATCTAATAAGATTTTATGTTTAGGATGTTTAAAAGAATAATCATGTGTTGGAACTCCAGCAGGAGAGGAGAAAAGGCCAAGGATCGAATACCTGTTAGGTTTTCTGATTGGCTTCCTGGATATTGTACTAAAAATATTTTTTTGTATTTTTCACTTCATGCTAACAGCAGGGGGCAACGATGGAGGTGATCGCAGCGGCAGCCGTCAAGGCGAGAAGTGCTCTCAGCCCGAAGGCTGACGGCTACCAGCGTCAAGGTCCTGACGGCTACAAGCGTCAAGGTCGTGACGGCTACCAGCGTCAAGGTCATGACGGCTACCAGCGTCAAGGTCATGACGGCTACCAGTGTAAAGGTCATGACGGCTACCAGCGTTAAGGTCATGCCGGCTACCAGCGTCAGGGCTATGATGGCTACCAGTCTCGAGGCCATAACTGCATAGTCATGACGGCTGCCAT